TGTTGAGAAGTGATATTATTATTTGACATACTCTGTAGACGAGATTTCTGTATTATTAATGGTGGGACGGATTTAGATTGTTGATTATCTGGCATGGTGTATGACGACGGTACGTTTTGCCGGTAGATAACGGAGAAGCCTGATAAGGCTGATCGTGCGGGACTGCGGCCACCCGACGACGGCCGGCCGTGCTATTTTGATATAACCGTGACGATAATAATTAGGTTGTAATAATTAAGTTTGTTACCTCATATGGACCGGAGGCGCTCCTTTTCAATGGCTTGAAGTTTGGTTTGGCAAGTCAGAAGAATGACACTTTGTTGAACTTGTGGAATGTTAATTTTTAAAAACGGACTATAACTTTGTAAGTTATTACGACAAGAAGGATAAACAGCGAGACACGATGTTTCATTATCAACGGTCGTACCGTGAATGAATAATACTTTATAAAAACTTTTGAAATCATGATAAGTAAATTAAAATTCATAAAATATAATATTAATTTTTTGTTACAATAAAATAAAATAATTTATTTTACTAGAAATTAAAAATAATTATAAGTTATATAAAGAGCAAATTCATAAATCCGAATAATCCGGATAAGAATTTGAATATCCGGATAATTCAGATATTCGGATTTCATGCTCATCCCTAATATGCATGCACTATATATTATATCATGATTTAAAAAAATTTTACGCATTACAATACAGAAACAATAATAATATTGATAAGTTAATTGTATCTGCTTAATACTAAATGTGTGGGCGGGTAACTATCGAATAATATATAGTAGGATATGATTATTGAGTATAATTAGGGAAATGATGGACGTATTTCGGTTAAAATATTCTACAGCATAATTTGTTTTTAAAAGCCCGAGTTAAAATAAATAAATCAATCGATCACGATTATGCAATGCTGTTAGGTATACATGTTCTTAAAACCATTTCGAGAAGTTTTCAATTGTAATGCAACCAACTTGGATAATATTATAATATAGTGGTACAGCTGGTAGTGTGTGTAAATAAAATGATTTTCGTTCAGCACAGTTAATTTTGAATATAAATTAGGTCGTCACGTTATTTCTTACTTCTCTAAGGACCCATCACAGATGACGATAGGAAGCGAGTGTCTCGTGTTTATGTTGAAAAAAAAAAACGTTTTAACAAGTGAAAATTGCTACATGAGTGACGATATTTCTGTGTGTAGTTGTATATCGATGCTTACGGCTATTCCGAAATACGTACAATTTTATAAACAAACGATCATATCGACGCCTCAGTTCAAGACTGCAATAACTCAAATTATGAAACTACTGGTTCTAGAACGAAATAAACGACCTCTAGAGGTGAATAATGCAAATAAAAGTTATTGTGTTATAGAATTGAAATCGTCGTAATTTTGCAAATAATATTACGTAGATAACTCTATCCTGAATATTTTTATGTTATTGCTGTCTTGAACTAATGCGTCGATATCATAATAATATTTTTTTTTGAGTTATTGCAGTCTTGAACTAAGGCGACGATATGTTGCACAAGATCGGGGATAAAGATGACTTAGTGTATACCATCGTATTATCGATAAGATTCACGGCATAGCGACGGTGACCACGATGGTATTCGAATCAAGAAAATCACGCGTTCGTATATAACGTTTTCATTGACGAAACGTAAATTATAGCATATCGGGTACACGAAGTAAAAGTGATTTTTTTTTGTCATACTGAAAACTTCACGGGAGTCTTATAATATTACAAAACCTAAGCGTTTCATTCAAGTATGTTCTCTTTTAAGGGATGAAATGCACCGAGATCCTAGATTCAGGTTCTAGATTTTCTTAATTGCATAATTATAGCACATTATGATTCTATAGTGTGATCACGATTTAAGGTACCACTAAATATCTTAGCTGGATGACCTTGTATTGAAGTAAATATTTTAGAGGTCTTAGAAGGTATTTAAATACACATTTCTTTATAATTTTCAAATCGTTAACGTTTTTGGTGCGCGCGTGCGCAATACAACTTACATTTTTTTAAAAAGATATTTCATAAAAAAAGTTTTTTTCTTTTTACGAAAATGACCAAGTTAGAGTAAATCAAATTTGAATTTAAGTATAATTCGTGTTTAATGTGATTTTCATTTATAACCAGTGGAAATAATAAAATAAGCAGTTTTTGACTTTCTTGATAGCAGTTTTGATCTCAATAACTTGTTTATGTTAAAGTAACATCTATTTACATTCAATACTCTTTTACTAATTTCCTTATGCATGTTGTTACTGTTTTTTATAATAACATCCAAGTACTTGAAGTCATCCACATTTTCAAAATTCATACTTCCCACTTTCAGGTTTAACTGATCTACGTTTCTTCTAGATAGTATCATAAGTTTAGTCTATTCTTCGTTGATACATAAACCCATGTTCTTGCTGGCTTCTATTAGTTTAGAGAGTGAGTGGGTGATTTCTTCTCGCGTGTTCCCTAAAAGAACTATATCATCAGCAAATGCTAAGACCATTTCTCCACCAATAATTTCCATTTTTCGGTCTTCATAAGATTCTTATAACTTTTTCTAGTTTCAGATTAAACAATATTGGGGATAGGGTATCTATCTGTCGCAATTCTGAATTAATCTCAAAGGAAACGTACTTTCAGTAACGTCTTGTTATTACACAAATTAACATATTTTTGTGGGATTCCAAAAAGTATAATTGCTTTCCATAGCTCCTGTCTATTCACACTATCACAAGCCTGTTTGTAGTCAAAAAATACCATATATAGGTCCTTGTTGAGCTTATAATATTTCTACATTGTTTGCCTTAAGGTAAATATATGATCAATAGTGGATTTCCCCTTTATGAACCCACATTAGTATATTCCTATGATGCCCTCTGCGTACGGCGTTAGGCCTAAGCCTCCCTATTTTCTAACATAGGTACCTATTATAAGCATTAAAACAATTAGGTATATCTTCAAAATTGCTTATTATAATTTTGGTAAAAACCAGGAGCCAATAATAAAATGGTTATATATTTATATTTGTATACGATAGGCTTATATGCGTGTGCACCGTGCAAAATTTCAGGTCAGGCACAGCAAACATTAATGCCGGCCCACTAGTGGTCTGTATGGTCCGGTCTTAATTAGTCCAGTTCGGATCGGACCGGACCATGGTCCGGTCTAGTACGGTCCTAACATACAAAAACTATTGAATCGTCGGTTTGGTCTGGTTCAATCATTTTTAGAAGAAGTTCGGTCCATTTATCAGATCAAATGTATTATTTTCAGTCCAGTTTGGATTCAAAAAAAAATGAATATCAGTCCGGTCCCAATCATGGTACTCAAAATATAAATACAGATATTGTTATGTAAACAAATAAAATGAAAAAAAAACCAAAATTTTAGGTATATATTTATTTATGAAATCAGGTAGTCCAGTCCAGTGTAATATTAAACGCATCATATAGTACGGTCTAGGCTAATACAGACTGAATCTTACGGACCGATCCATAAACGGTCAAAATGTTTTAAGATCGGACCGACAGTCCGGTCCACAGTCTACTTATTAAGTTATTTAATTACTGGTTCGGTCCGGTCTAAAAATTACATGAAGCCGTCGGTCCAGTCCAATTTTGGTTTTTGATTAACGTTTAAGTGTGGTCTGGTCCGACTTCGGTCCCTTGGTAAAATTTTAAGCCCGGTCTGGTTCTTAAAATAATGGACCGTACAGAGCACTACGGCCCACAAATATATATTTTTTAAATACTTATTATTAAATAATATACTTAATAGTAATAAATTTAATAACATACAATATTATCTACTTCAATTTGTAACTAAATAATTCATTACCATTTTTTATACAATATGCTATGACTGCTATGCGTATTTTATTTTAATTTCGTGGTTTAGAGTTTTGTTTTTAATAAATTATTTTAATTTAAATAATGTAGGAAATAATATAAATATATATATAATTTGTGATAGTGAAATAAAATAAAAAATAGCGTTCACGGTTTTTGTATGAACTTTGTACATTAATGTTGGAAAAAATTGATTTTATATAGGTAAATTTTGTGTTTTTTTTTAGAAATGTCATTAAAAAAGACTAATGCATAAGTTCAAATGTTGACTTATTCTAACTTGATCAGTTTTATAAATAGAAAAAAACTTTTTGTACAAAAATTGTAAGTTGTATTGCGCACGCGCCCATGAAGAACGTTAACAATTTGAAAATCATAAAGAAATGTGTAATTTAACACCCCTTAGGCCCTCTATGATATTCACTTGAATACGAGGTCATCCAGCTTAGATATTTAGTGGGTGGTACCTGAAACCGTGATGATGTGTCGAAAACGTTTTATTGTAAATCGTCGAACCTTGATTGAAAAAACTGTACTCGGACGTGAAACGATATTATAAAAAATCGTTCGTCAGACATCGATTCGAATTTTCGAAACCTATTCGTCTTACGTGCTGCAGTTTAAACACGTGTCGAAGGAACAGGTTTACTGCGATTTTCTCACCAGCTTTTAGAACCGGCCTCCGATTAGAGTAACACTTGCAGCGGACGGGCTACCAAAGACTCTCTCGGAGTGCGCCGCTGCACACGTGAACCATCGAATGCTTCACACGCCGGACGTAAGGATCCCGCGACGATGACCAGTTTTTCCTGTACACAGTAACGAGCACAAGATCGATACGATCTCGCGGGGCGCATCGTGGTGTCGTTCACCTGTGCCTCCGCCCGCAGCCGTTGCGTAATAACAGCGCACGCGTTCTCCGGACTCGATTTCCCGTGACGCGCGTGCACGCGGCTCCCCCTCTCTCCCGGGATCAGTTTCGGCCACCAACGCCTTGGCCCACGCGCGGAACGAGTGCTGACGAGAGGAAGCGGCGGCGGTCAGCAACCCACCCTGCAGCGACCGTTTGCCCACCAGCCGCGGCCGGACGTCGCGTGAACTTCTCCGGCCGACCTTGGCCGTGAGCCTGCACGCGTACACCATATAAATAGGCCCGGACCGAAGAAAGTAAAAACAATAATCTTTCTCTCGCCGCGGCAGTCCCGAACCCGTAACACCGCGACCGACCGACCGACGAGACGTAGCGCGCACCAGCGAACCGCGACGACGACGACGATGGCTCTTCTTTTGGTGAGTGATGTTCCGAATATACGTTTCACCGAATCCCGGTGAATCCGTCACGGTCCATTTTCCAACCGGCGGGGGGGGGGTTGGGGTTTTAAACGGGACTTAACGTTAGAGCGTTGCGACAATAACAGCGGGACAGCGTTTTCTGTTTTGCGCACCCCAACCCGCTTCGGACGCACCGAATCGCCGTCACGATTTTCTACAACGCGTACAAACCGTTAACGAAACACGCGCAACGTTATCTTGCTCAACATTAGATTACCGTGTACGCGGTGCATCGCATCAATTACGATGTTGCGCGCAGGTGTTGATTTAAACGCACTATCGCGAAACGTTCGGGTTCAGTTTTCAATCCTGTCCGGGCACGCGTTTTTAACATGATAATAATTATTATTTAATAGTAATTATCGTTGCAATACGCGTTGAACCGTTTTCGTCTTAAACTCGTAATAATTACTTTTCAACGTTCACCGGATCGTAACATGGCATTAGAATACCGTGCACGGAGATAATCCACGAGCGCGTAGAACGTAATGCAGATGTTTACTTTTAAACCTAGAAATATGGGTGTAACCTGCAGCGTTACATTTTCGTCGGGACCATTATTAAATCGTCGGTTTATAATTGTTATTGTACCTCGTCTGTACGCGTGGCGTTAACCATAGAGTTTTAATTTTCTTTCAGAAATGCACCTTGATGGTTTTGATCGTGACGCGTTTGACAGTGTCGGCGGATAAATTGAAACAGAATCCACAGACGTTACAAAATTTTTCTCCGACAAACGGTCCACTACAAAAATCGTCTGATGAATTGAAGCCAGATTTCATACCTATATACCTCTATGCCAGAGAAAATTCATTGGACGGAGATTATAACTTCAGGTAAAACGAATCAACCGCATATTTTTACTCGTAGAACAAAATAAACATACGTAGGACAAAGTTATTAACATAATATTATTCAACATGTTCTAAGTAATTATTCTTGTTAAGCTAGTTTCTGAAAGTCCATTAGCTTAGAGTATTACTTCCTGTGTACAGTTTGCTATTTAAAATATAATGTGTTGCACGATATTTTTGGTAAATATTTTTTCCTCGACAATTTTATCGAGGTAAATGTAATACATAAGTGTAAGACTAATACATTTATTACTTAGCTCAGAATTTTATGTTTACATATTACGATGAAAAATTATTCTAATTTGTTTTTTGAGCGGTACTAAACACCATACTGAGTGTTTTTTTCTTATTCCGATTATACTATATAATTACTTAATGGAATATTTTCGTTAGGTTTATGTTAAAATAACATACATACGTTATATGTCATTAAAAATTCCATTTTCAAATATCAATTACATTTTTTTTTCTTATACTTTCAATCATTTACAATTTACCATCAAATACTACTGTTACCAATTATTCATTTAGAGTTTGTTGTTATTAATATTGTTATAATTATTATTACTATATATATATATATATATATATATTTCTGTTAATCATTATTAATACTATACGAATAAATAAATAAATAAAATGTATGTAAATCAATAAATGTAAATTTCCATTAATTCATTTCAGGATTTGATATAAAACATGAACATAAACTGATTTAATAACGATACCTCGAAATAAAAACAAAAATTATTATAAATATATTCTGTAAATTGTTGACAATATAGAGAAGTATAAGTTTTATATTAATTGGTAAAATAAGCTTTATATTACTGTAAACAGATGAAAATGAATACCGAAAACTCGAAAAAAGTATTTGACCGTTTGAACAGCGCGTAATTTATTATAAGAAAATGATTTTTTTAATTTATTTTTATACGATGGTTTGGGAAGTAGGATGTATTTTAGAGGAGGTTGGGCAAACTATGGGTTAAAATATACGTCATTAAAAACATTAATATTATGCAGGAATCACATTGGTCAAATATTACGTACATTGAAAATTATTTCAACGTGGGCTTTTAGGATTATAATTCAAGATTAATCTTACTAGAATATTATGTACATAGTTATTTAAGAATGCCGAAATAAGAATAAGCTAGTGTATGATTTAACTACACACCGTAGTTCGTGTCGACCTACGAAAAAAAAAAAACATAATCACCGAATAAATGTCTTATAAAAATACGATTGAATCAATTTATTTGGGTTTGTTAAAATAGAAACACATTAATCGATAGAGAAATGAACATTAAACGACATCAAAGATAATAATAATATAATTATTTGTACAATTTGTATTTTTTTGTTATTCAACTGTATGACGTATATTCTATTATAATAATAACCGTTAGAACTGCTACAATATGTCCGAAAGTAGGGCTTAAGACTGTAAAATCATATCCTAATTATTATAGACTTATTAAATAAATGCGCTTTTACTATCAGAGCGTAAACTTTTCAGTTTTCATATAAATAATGTAGTTTTTTTGTGATTAGTATATTTTTAAATCTTGTTCTCAATTATTCATTTATGTCTATAACTAAATATAAATAACTGTTTTATGTAAATAACATTTTACTACCATAATATATCAGGAGATGGAGAATTTATTTTCTCTCTGGGAAAAATATAATATTCACATGTCATTTTCACTAATGCGCATAGTAGTGATCTACTTAAATTCAGTGATTTTATTTCCTATTGAAGATTACGTATAATTTGAATTCATATTTTTATAGATCTGGTACGTATGGTATGTAAGGCGATTGTAAACTCCGCTAGAATATCGGTTAAGATAAAAAGGTCATAAAAGGTCTAGTGTAAAATCCGCCAGTTTTTTTTCTTACCTATAATGGGTATATGTAAACCGGATCATTCGAGTTGGGTCCTGGATTTTTATAGGTACTACACTAGTTGAGTGCTGAATTATTTTAGGTACACTAGTTCCTGAATATTTTTTGGAAAGTATTACATTATACTAACATTTTCCTTCCCATTTGAACAGACTTAGGACTGTTTATGATCTATTTAGATCACAGATATGGTTAAAAATGATTTTTATAGTTTTATTTTTGTTTTTTAATTTATTTTCCATTAAAATATAAATTATTCGAATTGTGTTGGTAAAAATATTAAAAATGTTAAAATCATTATATAATATAAATAAAAATTAATGGAAAAGAAACTAAAAAACAAAAAAAAAACTATAAAAAACATTTTTAACCATACCTGTGGTCTAAAGAGATCATAGACAGTCCTAAATCTGTTAAAATGGGAAGGAAAATGTTAGTATAATATAGTACTTACCAAAAAATATTCAGAAACTAGTGTAGTACTTATAAAAATCCGGGACCCAACTAGTGTAGTACCTAAAATAATTCGGGACCCAACTAGTGTAGTCATTTTAAATTTAAATTTGGGACCCAATTCGGATGCAGTTATGTAAACTCCGCCTGTTTTTTTTTTTTTTGTTTACCTGCTCAGTGCTCACATTGCCACGTGCCTTTTCACATTAAAAACGTTGACATCTATTGCGATGATTTTTTTTTTTTTACTGTGATTAAAATATTTAATGTGGACGATTTTTAATTATTATTATAAAAAATATAATTTTATATTATTAGGTATAACGATTATTTATTATTATTTTTTTACTATGATTTAAATATTTTATGTGAACGATATGATATTATATAATATTATAATTTTTGTTTAATAATATATCATATTAATTTTATACTACTACTCGATGTTCTTCACTGGCGGAGTTTACATGTACTTAGTTTTACCTGATTTTTTTTAGTGGCGGAATTTACATGAACCCAATTTTACCTGTTTTATTTTTCTGGAGAAGTTCACAGTAAAAAAAGGTACTTGTGGCGGAGTTTACATGTGACCGGTATGTGTTAGAACTTTGTATCACTATGTATAAAATTTAAAAACAAATAAAGACTTCAGTGCAGTCACTGCACGACTTATTGCGTGACGACCGACAAATTACGTTTAGTTTTCTGTCAGCTCGTCTTGTCTGTGTTAAATTCTAAACCGTATTTCGAAGCGTCACCGAGCAAATATTATTCATTTATCAATACTGACGAATTCGCAATCGCATATAAACTGCATTTAGGTACTTTGATAGATATAAGGAGGGAAAAAAACTAATAAAAATAATAGTAATAATCTTGATGTGCTCACGTGTGCCATACCTATATATTTTAATAACTCGAAGTTCGAATGTCCAAGTAAGGAAGTAAATGATTTTGAAATCGAAACCAGTCTATAAAATTTATCACGAATAATATTCGTTTATAGACACAAAAAGTGATTATTGTTTGGTATGGAGTACAGTCTAGTGGTTCTTCACTTTTTTTAAGCTGCCACCCTCTTGAGAAGCTAAATATTTTTCAACACTAACATGTAAAAATAATAATAAAAATGATTGCTTGAAAATGTATAACTGAAATTGTTTGAAACAGTTGTGATGGATCAGTGAGATGTTTTACTTGATATAGTAACAGTATTTCTCGGTTATTAGCAGGGTTCGGATTTCATAATACTAAAAAGTACTGAAATATGCGCTATAGTATGTCCAAAAAAAATTAAAATGTACACAATAATATGTCCTAAAAACATTAAAAATAGTAAAAATAGTAAAAAGAAGAAAAAATAGTAATAAAAGATTATAATTTATAAACGTAACCAAACGATACGTAGAACCGACACTGAATTATGTATCCGTATGACAGGTCGACGTTATATTATACAATATAAACAATAATAAAATAAATATAAATATATATAATCGATGAGAAGTCATAAATGACTAATATTCAATATAGTCAAGTTACCTAAAAATAGATTATAACATCACTAATATATTATTTATTATATTAATAAAAAAGTGGATTTTTTTTTCTTATAGAATCACACAAACGAAATTTTTTTTCTATTTTTCATTGAATACAAACGAGATAGTGTGCGTGATAGCAACAATTAGCACCAAACCTTAAAAAATAGCACTAAAAGCTTAAAATGCTTCAAATATTCGATAAATAGCAACATAAAAATTCATATTTGGAGTTCTATGCACATAAAACAAATTTATTGCTCACTATATATGCTATTTTTAATAATTAGTAAATACTATAAAATTTGAGCCCTGGTTATTAGATTTTAATGTAAATACTAAGCCATTGTGTATAATTCTGCAACTGTTGAACTATAATAGTTCTTATCGATAGCTCTCAAAAAAAAAAAACGAATATTATTCGCTCACCACCCACTGAGGTCGACTGGCCCCCACCAATATTGCAAACGAAAAAGCGTATGATAACCGCGTTGTGTTTGTGATATAGATACGAGACCGGGAACGGCATTGTCGCCGAGGAACGGGGCGTCATGTTGAACAAAGGAACCGAGAATGAAGCTAATTCCGTGGTCGGGTCGTACAAGTACATCTCACCGGAAGGCGTGCCGATTGAGGTGTCATACACCGCGGGCGTGGACGGCTTCAAGGCGTACGGCGCGCATCTTCCGGTCGGGCCACCGGCCGCGGCGTCCAACCTGCCCAAGAACTTAGCCTACAAGAATGCGGTCGTAAGTGCGTTCGCCCGGCCGCAGTACAGGACGAGCGGCTCCGTCGATTCGCCGTCGACATCGGACCTCGCGCCCGAAGCCGCCGCCGCCACGTACCAGTCCACGTTGGCCACGTACCAGTCGACGCCGGCCCCGTACCAGTCGACACCGTTCGCGTACCAGTCGACAGAGGACGCGTATCAGTCGACAGAGAACGCGTACCAGCAGCCGATATCGGCCGCGGCGTCAGGTTCGACGGAAGCGCCGAGAATCGAACCGTCCAGTCAACAACCGATCGGTGCGGCACAAAACACACAGGTGTTTGAGTCATCCGAAAAGCCGTTGCAGCAGAGCGTGGTGTTCCAAGCGTCGTCCGCGAGCAACGAGGTGGAACAGTCGCAGAACACTCCGTTCGTCAAGGCTCCGCAGGCGGTCGAATACTACCAACAGCAGCAGCAGCAGTCCGTCTCGAGCCAAGCACCGCAGGACCAGGCTTTTTTTCTGGCCACGGCTTCGTACCCCCAACCGCAGCAACAGCAACAACAGCAACGTCAACAGCAACAGCAGCAGCAGCAGCAGCAGCAGCAGCAGCAGCAGCAGCAGCAACGTCAACAGCAACAGCAACAGCAACAGCAACAGCAGCAGCAGCAGCAACTGCAACAGCAGCAGCGTCAACAGCAACTGCTACAACTGCAACAGCGTCTCCCATGGCCAGCCGAAAGATTCGAATCGCCCAAACCCGCGGTCGCTCCCGGATCCGTCGTACCCGTTCTTCAGACCGTGCCGCAACCGCTTCAGACTCAGCCAAAGGTCGTGCCGGTGTTGCAAAGGGTTGTTCCCGGGTATCAGCAGCAGCAGCAGCAGCAGCAGCAACAGATCATCGTGAGGCCGCGGCCACAGTCGGTTTTTAACCAACAACAACCGGCTTTCAACCAACAGCAACCGGCCTTCAACCAACAACAACCGGCTTTCAACCAACAGCTACGTCCTGGCGGACCTCTACGTCAGTTCAACATAGAACCGCAGAACATGTGGTACGTGCAGCCACAAGCGCCGCAAAATCGTTACTTCCAAATGCCTCCGGTCCAACGAACACTGCTGAAGGAACCGCTCAAGTACTAGTCGGCCACCACCGTCACCGCCACCACTGCAGGGCTCAAGACATTTTTTACTTCGTATTATATTTATTTTTATTTTCATACTTTTACTTGTCAGAATGAGTAAGATAGGTTTTACTGTCGATTTTTGTATTTTTTTATTTTTAAAATATAAAAGTGTGTTCTCTCTCTCTATATATATACTCGTATATATATATATATATATATTACCATAATAATATCATAACGGTGGTTGTCTCACACTGACAATGGTGATTGCGTAACAAACGATATAGCAAGAATAAATTTATACCAAGAAATTTGATCGTTCCACTTTTGCTCGATCGACTTGTATGGGTTAGCACTTGAACTTTCGATTCTCAGCGTTTCTGTATAGAAGTTGGTAATGCGCGTTACAAATGACTAGTGAATTTAATAAGTGAAGAGCTAAACTAAAAGATCAACGGTGTGAGTACCGCGTCGAAGAAGGTGTGCCCCGATGTATTGTATTGCCCGATGTAATTATATAATATTTTATTGCTGTTTGTAAATTATTAATCAGCACGAGTTGTTGGTGAACCACGTGGAATGAAATCGTGCACAAGGCCAGGGATGTGACGACTGCAGACGCCAACGACGACTACGACGTCATCGGCGACGTGCAATATCCTCTTCACGGGGGAAAAACAACGACGCGCATGCACGTCTTCGGTTGGCGATTACCAGCGACCCGTGCCGCGTTTCAGCACGATTTTCGAATATTTCTTTTTTTCTCGATCCGTCCGCTTACATTATGTACACCGATAACAGATCTCTCCGCGCCAGGCGCTACACACGTATGTGTGCAATGTGTATACTTTGGTAGTGTGTGTGTGCAGTGTGCAGTGTCCGTAAAACTCACGCTAAGGGGATTGGGATCGAGATGATCTATAGAAAACTTATAAATATATATTGCATCATGCGCCTGGCTCGTGCATTCGCCGCGCGCCGCGGTATATCCCGGTAAGTCATTCGCAAAAAAAAAAAAAAAACCAGTTCTCCTCTCGACTCAATATTATTATTTCAAGAGTAATCACTTACACGTACCGCCGAACGTTTTATTATTATTATTTATCCTCGTAAAGATGCGGCCGTGGCGTATCGATGTCTCTCGAAACGAACAATAATGTAACGAGCGCACGCGCGCCCGTTACGGCTTGTTCTGATTTTCGAGTGCGGTCTATTTGCTAATTTTCCCGGGGCCCGAGCCTTCGCCGCGCGCGTGATAGACGACGGCGAACTACATTTCAATATGTTTCACAAGATGAAGAACACAAACTGGTTGCGGGTTTGCGTGTATGGACGAAACAGCTTCGTAATGATATATGGTTTTATTTTTTTTTTCATACCAACGATTTCTATTATCGGTCGGTATGACGAGTACCTACAACGAGTGGGCGGTCAGGTGGTTATCCATCGATACTACGTTTAAAATTTAACCGATTGTAAGTTTTTTATACTCTCTCTCTCTCTTTCTCTCTCTCTCTCTCTCTCTCTCTCTTTCTCTCTCTTTCTCTATCTCTATCTCTTACCGTCCTAGATGGCTACTGTGTGTCTTAATGAAACGCTGGACGCGCGGTAGTCGTCGTAACTATTGTACCCGTGTAGTGCGTGTACTAAAATGTTTTAATTTTTTATTTCCGTAAATAATCTGTGAGGGGTCGTTGTTCGCATTAATGCTGCATCTCACGAAAACAATTAAGCTCACCCTTAGCTCTATTTATTAGGAAAAACAAAATAAAATTACATTAAATCATAATGTTGGGTATTATCTGTGTGTAATAGAAGAGGGAGTTTTTAAGAGTTCAAACCCACCCCGAAGTTTTAGGAAAATTTTATAAGATAATGACGCACACAGATTTTAAAACACTTGATAGCATAATTATCGCACACGGATTTCTGATGTGCACCGGGAAAACGTGTTTCAATAGTACATTCTTCACGGTTATCTTCATTTATTTAAGATTACATCACAGGTATGATAACATTTATAACCTGCTGAAGTGCCTTAACTAAGCTTTGTAAATCGGTTGTTGGAGATGGTATCCACCATGTACGATTTTGTGGTCTTAACATTCCGAATTTTAACTTTCGAATCATTGTGCATAAAATTTAACGTTAAGATTTAATAAGTTTCAAATTTTCACAAATATTCGAGGAAACAATTCAAATCCGTATGGACAAATTATATGACTCTCATTGTCTAGAAATAAAGAAAATTTCGTGTGCTATTATTTGGCGGCATGTGTGCAGAAAATATAAAATTAATGTAGTATAACAATAAAACGTATCACCAACAACGAGAACACCGTTTTGATTCATATTAATGTCGTATTATTTTTTTGTGTGCGGAATCAGGATCCATGATTTTATAAACGTGTGCGATGTACACGTCCAATACACACATGTGACAGTCAGCATAGTAGGTTAGGTTAGTCCGGATTAGAATTAGGGTCCAGATTTATATGCTTTAAAAAACCCTAGATATTTACACTATAAAATATGCATATATGATTTTATTTTGTACAAGTGTGATATAAAAAATAAAAAATATGCAAAAAATTAAACTAATATAACTAATCCATCTGTAGAAAAAAATACCTTCATATTCGGCAGCAAATTTATTTAGCTTACTATACGTAGTTGCACTGATTTTCGCCATTTTAAGTATAATTAAATTAATTCGAATGAAAATTACACACACTCGGATCAAGACAAATACGAAGAAACAAACTTGACTAATGTATGATTCGCGAAAATCTACTCAATACTACTTGTCCCGTATGCAAAATAAAACTTTATATTTCGGATCTATTGACTATAATTCAAACTTATAGTTTACCTGGCTATTTTTTGGATTGTTTGGAAAAAAACATGGAAATGCATATGAATCCGGGCCCTACAATATAGTTTTGGACTGTAGAATTCATGCTAAATTGGCAAGTGTCACTGATTCGAACATTCAGTGCTATTTTGTTAACCGTAATGACCTTTAAAAATCTTAAGACCCTCTGATAAAATATTCGTGTGCGTACATTGTTATAGTACAGTGGCTTAGTTTCCATTTTTCTTTTTTTATCGACATCACGATGCATTTCACATGAAGTTTGCACGACAATCGCTTGTTCGACAGGATCCTTCTGCCAGATGTCGGTTGTTCGGCTAACTCGGACCGTACACCGCACAACGCCTACGTCAATATCAAGTGGTTGGGACGTGGAAAAAAGAAACGCGTTAAAGCGTGCGGGAGACGTGTCTGTATGAGAAACAAATGATACGTCTCGCACGTACGTGAGCGAAGGAGCTGCACCACGGGTAGCTTATCCGTTAAGACGTTAACAGCGGCAATCGTAAATATGGTTAGGTCTCCTTTCCCGGGACCCGGACGGCATGTTACTCACGCGGAGACCAGTTGCATTTGTCATCGAGTCGAAACTATTAGTTATTGTACGCGCCGCAGGACGGACGGTAGTTTTCAACTTGGACGTGATTAAGTGAAAAAAATAAAAAAAATTAACACATAAAATGTATACGTACAAACACATGTGCCGTGCAGAAACGTGCACGAGTAGAGTTCGCACGAAGAACGTCAAATTTGAAAGTGATTGTAGATCGCAATCGAGCGCGCGAGATGCGGTTCGTTAGATAAATAAATGAACGAGTACCCGTATTATGACGTTACGCGTCGTGCCAATAAGATAAAAAATGTCGTCTTAACGAACAGAAAGTCGGTTGATGTTAAATTAAACGCGTTGTATAACGCACAAAAATCAATGTTACATTTCAATATCGTACACACGTCGGACTGTTGTATGATATATGCCGTGTACATCAATTACGATGGTATAATATTCATCTTCGAAATCACGCTGAAGACCGTACATTGACATAAACGCGCGCGTTCTTAGAAGGTGGTGTAATATCATTATACGTTTTATGTTTTTCGTGCATTCCAAGTTTTCTATACTCATAAGAGCGCTGAGAGCTGCTATGCGTTGTGAAAACAAATTAATTCTCTGCCGTTGTTAATATGACTTACATTAAACTAAAGGTAAACTGGTCAATAAACAATGTTCGTACAGTATTATATATTAGATTAAAAAATATAAATATATGCGCACGTACATGTTTATTATATGTCTTTTTCGTGTTTATATGCATAGATCGTGTACACAATATATCATAATGTTGACGTGTATATTGTGTAAACGGCTACGTTGATGAAAATTCGTTTACATTTCTTGTGTACGTACGGTTTAAAATCACAAAAACGTAAAAGAATTTAATGAAATACAATCTCATAGATATTGTTTTTAAATAACAAGAGCTTTCAGAAGTGCAATAAAAGATTTTTTTGCTTATTCATCCAATAACATGAAAATAAACATTTTTCTAAACATTTTGTTTTTTGTCTCATAGAAATATGTAGAAATTCTTAATTAGAATAAAAGTAAAAATACAATAAAAGTCTATAAGTCTAGTATCGAGAAATTTTAAACGATTTTCTTGAATAAGAAACTTTACATTCGTTGTTACACGATATTTATTTCTGATTTACAATTGCTTGTATTTTAAACAAAAACAACTCCAAGTAGTTAACACTATTTGTAGTAAATAAAATGTTTTGTTCGTGTAGATTTAATTATTATTAATATCTTTATTTAGACTTTTTTATTTACACAGGAGGTTTAATTTTACTATTACGACTTATTTTAATAATACTGAAAAAATCAAACTTACGATTTTCAGCTGTAGTGTTCAAACAATTTTAATATTGTCAACTACGATGTAGTATACATATAAATAATTGAACGACTGGGAGCCATTAATATTCAACCGACACAATATAGAATAATGTTTCAAGATATACTGCATTCGAAAATATAATTGCATGAAGATATTCATGAAGGTCGAAAATACTTTAGTTTTGGTCCGAGCTCTTTTGATTTTTTTATAAAACAGACGATCGGGTATAAAAGTGTAACCGAACTGAATTATAACATAACATATAAAGATTAATGATGATTGCATTATGTATATATATTTTTTTTAGTGGTTATTATTTAGACATATTGGTTAATAAGTTCTGGGATTCAGGTTTGATTATGCTTCAAAATTATCATACTTGATGTATTATCAAATAATATTTTTTGATTTTTT